CCCGGGAAGAGCGCAATGATGGTGCCAACTTGGGCCAGTGAAACAACGTCCTCCAAAACTAGACTGAAGAACAAAAGGACAGCAACTTGTCTGTTCCCTTCCCCCACTGCCCCAGCACTGTCGCTTTCCCCCAATATCCCAATAAAAAGAAAAATAAATAAAATAAAAACTCAAAATTCTTAGTGAATCTTCTGGAGAAATCAGTAGCTTGCAGGTAGATTCGGAAAATACCAAGTGGTTAGGTGTTAATAATAGTCACACTCAATTTGATGTTCTAAGAAAGAGTGTTACTTTAAGCTCTGGGAATGAATCAATTTTTTTTTTCAAGGAGGCAGCTGCCAAGGTTTCCAAAACAACCTGGCTGAAAGGTTGTTAACTAACATGTGATAACGCTATTCTGAGAAGGGAAATGGGCAGTTCCACTGGCTTTGCCTTCAGAGTAAAGACAGAAAAACCTGATCTACAGACAGGATTTAAGGAGCTCCACAGAGAGAGAATCCTCTCTCCAGAAGCATCACAAAAAATAGAAAACAAAGAGAGGGGAAAAGAAGAAGCCAGACGGGAGGAGAAGTTTTAGTGACTGCAGGGTGTTTTGTTTATTTAAATACTTCCCTGTTGGTGGTTCTTTAGGTTTTATTCAATATTTTGTTGTTCCCAACAATGCTACAATATATCTCTTTAAACATGTATCTTTATGCATATGTGCAAATAGGGTAAAGTCGTAAAAGCAGAACTGCTTAGTCAGAGGGTTAAAAAATATTACATATTAAGAATAAAAAGGAGTTAGTGACTCCCTCAAAAAAAAAAAAAAAAACAAAACAAAAGTCTGTAATAGCCAGAGCATGAAAGAGAGAGATCAATCAAGTGGGGGAAACAGTGCTATCGGAACATTAGCATTGACACCACCGAGTAATGAAGTGAGAAGGGCCCTACCACCTGCACCCAAAAGTCAGTTTTCCTTGTAGCCTTTGCTCCAACCAGAGACAAATGTTTGCCCACACATAGGATGCAGAAATTAGATTAATTAAGAAATATATTGTGTATTTGTATCTTAATTGCACTGGTGGACTATAAGTTATACAAAAGCCCTCACTCGGTTAGCGTCCCCCAAAAGTCCACTCCTGGCTAAAAACTTATGTGTGATTTTTCAGACCTGACCACAGGCAATTACAAAGGCTTTACTTGACAGGCCTCATGAGAGGAAGCTGCCCTCCGGACACCAGACTTGGTCCACGGCCAGTGCAGCGCAGTCTCTGAACGGGGTTGCAGTCGAGCACTGAGGGTCCCCTGGCTGGTCATGCTCTTCGAATATTTACATTCCTAGCCCCAGTGCCTTTATTCCTAGGTCTCTTCATCTGAGGCCTTGAGCTGTGTCTTCTTTAGGGGCCTCTACCAAAGCTTCCTTATTGAGGAGGGCCTGGGGGGACTTGAAGACACTTTTCCCCACTCTGATTCAGGACCCAGTACTTTTCCACACCTACCTCTTCTTCCCCCATGCCCTCCCCGCAACCCCTCACCTCAAGGTCCATAAAACTGCGGGAGCCTTTTGTTCTGGGCCCCTCAGCAGTGAGACAACCCCAGATCAGTGCTGATCCATCTGACCCCCCCCCCATCAGTGTACCTCTCCATGGGGGAAAACAGAACAGGGGAGTCAGTTCCTGCTGCTGTTCAGCTTCTTGCTTACCCCACTGCAGGAAGCGATTCGAGTCCTGCTGCTTTAATCGGCTATTCCAACACCTGGCAGCTCTGCTTTCTCCCAGCTCAGCTGAGCTCCTGACAGCTTGCAGGAAGCCTTCTACTGCTCAATGGCCTTACCATCATCAGTTAAGCAATAGCTACTCAGGAGTTAAGCATATTAACCCATCTAAACATTGCCTGAGCTCCACATTGCCCGTTTTCACGAGACTAGGAATAGCTTTGTGACAACCAGACAAAAAATCTCTTTGCCCATCTGCTCTTGATATATGAAATTCTCAGCATTACTTAAACTACAACAAGGCAAGGAGGGGAACTAAAATTTAGTGAGTATCTATTCTATATGCCACACCCTTTACACATATCATTTTCTTTAATACTCATAACAACCCATTGTAAGGGCTGGCCGAGTGGCTCAGTTGGTTAAGAGCTCGCTCAAGAGTTTGAGCTCTGAGCAACAGCGGTTCAACTCCTGACCTGAGCTGAGTAGCCGCTGAGCTACCAACAGGTGACAGGATGGCTCAGCTTAAAAATAAATAAATAAATAAATAAATAAATAATTTTTAAAAATAAAATTTAAAAACCCATTGTAGTGGGTGCCATGATTCCTATTTTACAGATGAGAAAACTGGGTAACATCCCCAAACTCAAACACCTAGCAGGTAGTGTTGTGAGGACACTAGCTGGGACCTGTCTACAGTGCCCTGTCCACAGCCCCATACTGCCTTCCCCAGGGTTACAGGCTAGTCCTCTGGGAAGTAATGGGTAGGGTTGCATTGATTAGCTGTGGGGTCTACCCTTGCCTGGCTCCTGGAGAAGGTGGCCACAAACACCCTCCTAGCAGAGCTGCGTGTACCTTCGGGTCGTCCTTCACCCCGAGGAAGAGGTCATCCTTCAGCCCTTTCTGGCAGTGCTCACACGTGCAGTCAAAGTAATACTGTTTCTTCAGCTGCTTCTTGCGTTCTTCGCTGACGTTAAGGAAGTCAATATAAGACACTGTCAGCTCCTCTCCTTCTGAGATCTTGCCCAGGGCCCGGAGCTCAATTCTGGAGCAGGGCAGAGGAAAGAGTAATTCAAATTCAGGACTATCAGAATGGCATTTGTGCTCTTCAAGTTTCAAGTTGAGTCTCAAAGACAATGACTTCTACTAGTACTAGAGAAAACTCTCATTCCCTCCAAAAAAAGGAGAGATGTGACCTAAAGGACAGTTTTCTGGATAATTCTGCTCTACTCATTATAACAATCAAATCTGTTCCATTCCATGAATTGCTCTGAAATCTGGTCAAATAGGTTCCTGGTAGAGGACTGGGCTTGGTCTTAAACCCATACATAGCTCCCATGCCTGCAACTATCCCTGTACATTCAGCTACTGGTTGTCAAAGGAAGGGACAGATGCTAATAAGGTGAAAACTCAAACAAGAGAAGACTCAATAGTCATTTCTGCTTTGTTTGGGGACTGCTTCCTCAGAAACACACACAATCTTGGCCTATTCTGTGTCTAACTATAAGCCCCTCTTACCTCAACCAGTGTTTTAGGCCTTAATTATGTAAGAAGACTTATTTAGGAGATCACTGATGGCAAACAAAGACTGGCTCTGTTAGTCTGCTGCATTGTTCACTTTTGTGTTTATTAGGGGACATGGCTTTCTGGCTGAAGATGATTAGCAAAAGGAGATGGCATTTCAATCCCCTTCCAGCCTAGACCTGACCCTCCAATTACCTATAGTACAACCCACCTTACCATGTAATAAGTACAGAATGTGCTGAAGACAAAGCCCACTGCAGAACTGACATCCAGCTAAGCCAAACAAGCAGAGATCAGCCCGAGGGCCTCTCAGCCATGCACCCTCCACCACAAGGCCAGAAGCTACAGAAAACAAGTGATGAGCCTTGCAAGCTGGATCCTAAGCTGTGCTCCTATATCGCCCCAGGATTCGGGGGCCTCACTAGCCAGTGGGAAACCATCATCCAGAGTGAGTGGCAGGATGCAGAGGCTGGGGAGAGCATCTGCAGAGAGGTCCGTGGCCATTCCTTTTACCTCCCAGAGAGGCTGTCAGACACCGTGTAAAGGCGGGACAAGATTTCAGCACCACAGAAGGGTCCCAGTCACAGGCATCCCCTTCCACGTACTCAGAGATGACAACTGAGCAAGCAACTACTGAATGGCAGTGACACACTTGTCCAGGTATCAGAGGTGACCACTTAAGGTTAAAAAAGCTTTCTCCCAAAGTGGAACACACTGACATGCCAAACAAATGTGATAATACATACAATATAAAAACAACTCGTATGGCAGCTAAGTTCCCATTCACCTTTTGCTCCTTCTTTCCTTTCTTCCCCACTCCAATTTTGGGCAGCAGCTGTTACTGAAGTGATGAAAGGCGAGAGGGAGAGGAGGGCCCAGTGATTCTACTCACAGCTGTGTTTATACTCCTATGTCCAAGCTGCAGGGGATCAACCTCCTCACTTCACAAATGAAGACACTGATGCCCAGAGAGGTGAAGTAACTTGCCCAAAGGTCCACAGCACTTTGGCAACAGAGTCAAGATTAGGACAGAAGTGCCATTCACACTTCACCACACCATATTGGCCTCACCTGACTGTTTTCGGTCTGCCTCTCGAGTCTGCAATGCACGGGAAATGAGATGCACCAAAGCCCTAGATTTTAGGACCCTCCTAGTGTCTTAAATAGTTCTGGGCCAGTGTTGAGTGTGGCTCTCTGGCGTTTGGTCCTGGTGGGGTACGTAAGCAATTCTACCCCCACCAGCCCCTTTTACAGAGGCAGTTCACCATCGTAACATATCCCCATTCAACAGTGATTCAGTGGACAATTAAGTTAGAATTTCCGGTAGCTTTACTTCCCATCATGGTTAAGCCAAGTCATACAGGTCTCAGAGTATCTCAAATTATTTCAACGATATTAGAGAATTTGAAAACCAAATTAATGTCACTTAAATATGAAAAAAAAATGCATAGATGTATACCCCATTTTACCTAACGTGGAATTAGAGAGCAGGAGATGAAGAGTGACTGCCACGCCATTCTGGACCCCCAGACCCCTTCCATCTCTAATGCTCTGCGATTTTATGATTCAGCCAGTTGATCCACAAGTAGGCAATTAATTTAATTATTTATTCTAGTGATTGGGAGAGTCCCTAGAGATGCTCTCATCTTGACCTTTGCTCTATAGATGTGGAACCAAATACCCAGGAGGTAATGTGAATTGTCCAAAGTCAAGTGCAATGCATGCCAACACAGGCTCAGGTGCCCAAACCACTCCTCCCCCTGCATTCCCAAAGCCCAAACTTCCATGCAGCCTTTTGTCCTAATTCCAAAGAGTATTTCAAGAACTTTCAAGCTCAGCTTGAGAAAAAGACCCATCAGGGGCCATTTGGTTGTGATTAAGAAAAGTCAAAAGTAAAATCTAACCTAAACCACTAATTCATAGTTGGCCAGAAGCCGTAAATAGAATACTATGAATGAACACTTATCAAAAATATCAGAGTTATGGGTGTGATTTTCAGAACCCAGTCTGGGTGAGAAGTTGAGGGTTATAAACAGTTCTTTAGTGGGTCAGTAATATCAGCAGTCCTCATTTCACAGTAAGCAGGGTTTAGACGGACAATGTGGGTTTCTGCCAAGATGATGTGGACCAGAAGGGACTGCCATGCTTTGATGTTGGAGGAGTGAGAGAAGTGAAAGAGGGGGAAGAAAGAAAGCAAAGTACAGCAAAGGCACAGCCAGTGGTAGATGGGTAAGGAATAAAGTGATTAATTTAAATGCATTAAGAATACAGCATTCAACAAAGACAAGACTCTGGGGCGTGGAAGGACTACAAACAGACAGCAGCCACAGAGATGTGGGAAGAGGTGGCCCAGCAAACCAGGCAAGTGAGGGAGATGGGTCAGAGGAGCAGGGATGTTTGCAAGAACTGACCCACCTCATCTGAGTGTGAAACATGGATTTCACTGCCTCATGACTGAAAGACAAAACAGACACCCAAATGGAAATCATTACTATTGGCTGATCCCGCACAGCTAGCAAGGGTACACAGCATTCCAAGTTATGCAATCAAAGCTTTGGCCACAACAACAACCTCTATACCAGCCCTGATAGCTGGGCCCACTTGACAAGATGCAGCCTCGTATAGTGGAAAGTGCACTGGATTTGGAAGGAGGGATTCTGGGTTCAAAAGTACTCAGCCCTGGACAAGTTATTTCCCTTCCCTGGACCTCAGTGTTCTCATCTATAACCTGGTAATGAGGCTCATGAGACAATGCATTTAAAAGTAGAATGCTAAAAAAAATAATAAAATAAAAAAAAACTATGGAAAGCTATTATTATCCCACTAATAAGCATCTTGGACAAGTAAGTGTTGCCTCTTTTGATATCTATCTCATGGAGAGCTTGAACAAATTGTGAACACTGGTTAGGTCACACAGGTAGTATGTACATAAAAATTGTTGGGGTTAGAATTAGGCTTCTAACATCATGACCAGTGTTCTTTCCACTATGGCAGGCAGCTAGATAGTAAATGCAAAGTCACCTTCTCTTGCACAACAACCAAGAAGCCTGGGTAAAACGTGGCTGCTCAAAGTTAGTGGATGCATTGAAGCCACAGCAGACACTGGAGATGATCTGAAGAAAGGGTTTCCAGGTTCCTGTGGCTGTTACATGTAGTGACGGAAAGAGCCCTGGGTTATCATTGCTTAGGAGAGGGATATCCAGAAAGATCAGCCCCATATGTGGCTGAATTTAATCTTCTGTGCCAACCAGGCTAACCCTGGACAACAGTCCCTCTGGAGAGGATTCCATGTAGTCCAGGTCAGTGACCCTAAGAGGCTTAGGAAGGGAAACACAAATGCTGGAAAAAGATTATCATCTGGGTCCAAAATTAACTTCCCTGTCTTGAGTGACTTTCTCAATTGCTTAAGAGCCTGGTGTCATGTGGGCCCTGGTTTGCAGAAATAGGAAGGAAAAGGGAAACCAGAATCCTTGCTATATTGGGGCTTAGGCTTGATTCTTGGCTGAGAACCAGAAACCATTGTCTTTGGTTTCCAGAAAGTTTTTTGGGGGAAACCTGCTCATTGTTGATGCCTTAGCGTCAACTTGCATCTGTCATAAGAACCTGTCTCTAAGAGCAACAGAAATATTGCTCAGGCCTCTTTCCCCCAAATCCCCCAGCCTGAGCCATGGACAACCAGGGGTCACCCTGTTTGCTGACGCTTCTCCATTTGTGCCTTACACTCAAATTCCATGCTTGTCCCTTCTGTCCCCTGATCTGTGCCTTCTTGAGGGCTAGCTGACCTCTGAGGACTTCATCACTCAGGTTCCTTTGCCCTCTCGCTTCTGGTTGAGGTTTGGCCAAAGGAAGAAGATCAGAAGATGGGAGAAGAAGTAGGGGTTTTGGTCTCCTGGCTCCCTCTCTGTCTCACCATGGTTTTACCAAGCTGTTGGGGTTGTAGGAAGGGCACCTCCCATGGCTGCGGCTCTCACCAAACACAAGAACAGTACTTCTTTCACTTGTCCTTTCAGGTATAGAGACGATAACGGTTTCATGCTGTTGCTGCTCCCTGGACACCTCAGCATTCTTTGTTAGTTTCTTAAATTCTACCCACACTTCTGTGTATTATCCTTTTATAAATTCTCTTCAGGTAAACTCTGACTATGCCTTCTGATTTCTGCTGGGACCTGGACTAATAATACGCTTCTGCCAAGCACTTTCTCAGTTGATGATGTTCCGCAATGACCTCTAGAGAGATAATCCCAGGCATCAAGTTTTAAAATAGTAGTTAGAGGTTTACCTAACATATCCAGGTGACCTCAAGAAACATACAAAGACTCAAAAATTACCCATGTAGAATTATTTACTGTCTTCCTCATTACCTTTCTCCTAGCCACAATTAATCTATAATGAAATTTCTATTTTCTTTCCATTTGCAATCCATGCTAGTTCAGGTTCAACAGTTTACCTTTTACTTAAATCAAGTGGAGAAAACACCATAAGGTCTCCCCACCCCCAGTGAAAGACATACTCACTTGCCATTGTTAAATATGACAGTGCAGTTAGGCCAACAGTCATGGTTCACCAGGCCCAAATTGGGGAAGATGCCCACACCCACTGCCTGCAGGCCTCTCTGATCACTGAGTGTGAAACCGTTGCAATTAATCTACACAGCAGAAAAGATAAAAGAGTCAGCTGACAGACATAGACTAGAGACAGATCACCATCTATTGTAGCTACTGAAAATTAAAAAAAAATAAAATAAAATAGAAAACCTGGTGTCATCCTGAAAATGCTTAGAGTCAGGAAACAAAACAGTCTCCTGTTCTGTGTGACTCTAAATGACCCTCAAGGTTAGTACCAAGAGAGAGTCCCATTCTTGCTAAAATTAAACACTACCTTAAAAGTTTTTGGTAGCTGTATTCTAAAAAGGCCAATAATAGAAATGTTGGTTCTGAAAATATCTCTTTCTTTCCTGTATCTGGGTCTTACACGAGTCTTCCCCAGTATCTATCTTGTTTCTCTCTCCGTGCCCTACTCTGCGTGCGTGTGTGTGTGTGTGTGTGTGTGTGTGTGTCTCCTCTGCCTTCTGCTTTCTTTGCCTACCCACCCTCAACTCCTACAGCTGCTCATAAGATAAAACTGACACCTCTTTTTTACTATTTTGTATCTGGTGGATATTTTATACTTCCTGTTCACAATTTTAAATTTCGGTGAGTACAACATTTATCTCTAAATATAAGTTGAGTATTACTTATATAGTTTATTTATTTCCTTTTCCTTAAAAATAAGTGGTTTTTTTATAGAAACATATTTCAAATATCTGCCCTCATAGTATGAAAAATGCATAAGAATAAATATAACCTAGAATGCATTAACAACTTCAAGAAACTTTCTGCTTTATATGTAAATAATATATACGTTCATACTATACATAAGATAGCATACATTTATATATACCAGGGGTGCCAAAAAATGTATACAAATGGACATTTGGTCAACGTTGCTTAAGCAGTTCGCCATAATTAGAGTTGTCTGGATGCTGATGGTAACCACTTTGAGCACCTCTTGTAATTGCAGAAGTCAAACGTGACTTGTAGTCATCTTTTATTATTGGTATATATTGAGTATTATAATTTTAATACAGTTTTCCTTTCTTAAAATGTGTATAAATTTTTTGGCACCCTCTGTATATATTGACATGTATAGCACATGGCTATTTGTTATAGATATTGGAAGAGTGTCACTTTCTCCATTCAATCTCATTGGTCATTTAGCAGATACATGGAGTTAAGCCTGCCAGTACCACTAAAAAATTGTGTTACCTTGGTCAAATTTATTTCTTCTCTGAGCCCCAGTTTTCCCATCTGTAGGTTGAATAAGTTGGATTAGACGATTTCTACGGTCCTTTCACTTTGGTGATCATGCCATCCTGTGGCTGTAGTCCCCAGATCATCTTAGGGAAACCCAGGATGAGTCTATGACCCCCATTCACCCCAAGGCTGTGAAGCATAACTGCTAAGAGTAGCAACTCTGGCACCAGACAGATGGCTCCTAGCTCTGCCATAGACACCAGTTCACTATAACTTCTCTGGGCCAAGGCTTTATGTTTATAAAAGAGATGTTAAAAGCATGGATTTCACTTTGTGTTGTAAAGATTGCATAAAATAATACATGGGAAGCTGTGGTGCTTAATTTTATGTGTCAACTTGGCTGGGCTGCGGTGCCCAGACATTTGGACAAACATTATTCTGTACGTTTCTGTGAAGGTGTTTTTAGAGGAATTAGCATTTAAATAGGTAGACTTTGAGTACTGCAAGTTAGCCTGAATAATGTAAGGGCCTCATGCAATCAGTTGAAGGACTTAATAGAACAAAGACTGACCTCCCCTGAGCAAGAAGGAATTCTGCCAGCAGGCAGTCTTTGGAATCAAACCACACCTCTTCTTTGGGTGTCCTGCCTGCTGGGCTACTGGCAAATTTTGGATTTACCAAGCCTCCACAATCTCAGAGCTAATTCGTTAAAATAAATCTCCTTCTCAATTGATATAGATGATAGATAGATAGATAGATGATAGATAGATAGATAGATAGATAGATAGATAGATAGATAGATAGATAGATGATAGATAGATAGAATGTTGGTTCTGTTTTTCTGGAGAACTCTGACTATTACAGAAACAGTGGCATATGGTTAGGACTCAAGAGATGTTTGGTGTGATCATGCTGTTATTGTTATTACAATAGACCCCTCTTCAGCCCACTCACCAGCACCACAAAAGGGGCTGGGCCTGCCAGATGGAAAGCATCTACCCCCATAGCCAAGGACCTGAGCCTACTGACCCTCAGGGATCCCATCTCCACCTCTTGAACTCTTGTGGCTTGAGAAGCCTGGCTTTGTTGCTCCAAGGCAGCACCCTCCAAAAAGGCCTTACTCTCCTCTTTCTGGCTTCCATACCCAGTACTCCAGGCTCCCCATTATCCTGCCCATCAGATCTGGGAAAAGGAAGAGTCTGATTTTCAAAGTGACTAATGGGCAAGGAAGGATGGTAATTGGGTCTTTATTTTCAATATGGAAAGGAGAAAATACAAGAAATACAGGTAAACAAGAAGATAAAATCCATCTAAATCCACCATTCAGAGATAATGGAAAGTTTGTGTTGGGATGCCAACTTCAGATAGGGCAGGAATGACCTCACTGTAAGCAAGAACAGGAAGACAGAAAATGGGATGAGAGTTGTTCATATTAGGGCTCTGTCTCCCTCCAGTCCTTTTTTTGCCCCTCCCCCCTCTGGCCTGGCCACATCTGAATCTCTCTTAGTTAGACAATTCCAGCTGTCACTTCAGCCCACCCACACACACACACACACACACACACACACTTTATGAGAAGTCATACCACGCCAAAGATGTTCGAGATGTACTGAATGCTGAACTGCTGGCTCTGGGGTGGCCAGTACTGCAAGAAAACGTCCACATCCAGCTGCAGCTCCTTCTTCTCCTCCTCCCCGAAGTGTGCCACATGGTTCTGCAGGTCATCCACAGAGATCAGGCAGCCATCTGTGAGCCCAGTGCCCTCTCTCTCCACTCGCCACATGATGCGTGCAGCAAGCCTATGGAGAGGCGCAGGGTTAGGGATGCCCTACTGCATTCATTCATTCAGCAAACACTTACTGTGTGCTTAATGCATGTCAGGCACAGTGTTGAGCCAAAGATATAGTTGTTTTGTTGTGGTTTTTTGGGGGGGGGGGTCATAGAATAAGCATTCATTATCAGAGCACCGGTGGTCTGAGAAGGTAGCAGGTTAACACCTTCAAAACTGCCTTAACATTCTCAGACCAGCTTGGGGTATTTAAAGAAAAATCTGGACATTGCACCGGAGGCTACGTGATGGTTCCAAGGGGGTCTGCATGGAGCCTTCCTTCTGGCGATGTGGCTTCCCTTCTTGGTCACCAAACCAGGAGCAGTGATGACAGTAACCTGGAAAGAATGCTAGGCCATAAAGATTGTGATCAGTAAGCATGGGGGTACTGTGATCAGTAAGTAAGCATGAGTTTCAGGATAATTATCTAAAGCAGGTAACTGGGACAGGGGACATTCTAAACTCAGGAACGGGGACAGGGGACATTCCAAGCTCCAACCGAAGGGTGGGGGTTGATCAATTATTAAGCTCTGGGGCAGAGAGAGATGAGGACAGGGACATTCACGACCTCTTTTGTGGGGATCCCAACTGGGTCTTGTTTCAATTCCCCAATAAAATCTTTTTTAAAAATAAATGAATAAATAACACAAAGGCTATAATAAGAGACAAAGAAGAACATTACATAATGGTAAAATGATCACTCCAACAAGAGGATATGTATGTAATCCTTGTAAATATTTATGCACCCAACTTAGAAGCACCTAAATATATAAAGCAAATATTGACGGACATAAAGGGAGAAACTGATAGTAATACAGTCACAGCAAGGATTAGTAACACCCCATTGAAACCAATGGACAGACTTCCACACAAAAAAATCAAGAAGGAAACTGTGGTCTTAAATGTCACACTTAACCAGATAGATTTAATCGATATTTTTATAGCACTTCACCCCAAAGCAGCAGAATATACATTCTTTTCAAGTGCACATGGAACATTTTCCAGTATAGCTGACATGTTAGGCCACTAAACTAGTCTCAATAAACCTCAGAAGATTGAAATCATATTGAGCATCTTCTCTGACCAAATGGTATAAAACTAGAAACCAATTACAAGAAAAAAACTGAAAAACACACAAAAACTTGAGGATAAATAACATGCTACTAAACAATAAATGGGTCAACAATGAGATCAAGGAAGAAATCAAAAGATAGCTTGAGACAAATGAAAATGAAAACACAATGACCCCAAATCTATGGGGCACAGCCAAAGCTTAAGTCTTAAGAGGGAAATTCACAGCAATACAGGCCTACTTCAAAAAAAAAAAAAAGAAGAAGAAGAAGAAAAATCTCAAATCAACAATTTGACCTTACACCTAAAGGAACTAGAAAAAGAACAAGCAAAGCCTAAAATGTGTAGAAGAAGAAAGAAAATAATAAAGATCAAAGCAGAAATAAACAAAATAGAGTCTAAAAAAAAACAATACGAAAGACCAAGAGCTGGTTCTTTGGAAAGATAGATAAAATTGATAAACTTTAACCAGACTCATCAAGAAAAAAAGAGAAAGGACTCAAATAAATAAAATCAGAAATGAAAAAGGAGAAGTGACATCTGGCACCACAAAATACAAAGGATTATAAGAAAATGCTACAAACAAGTATATGCCAACAAATTGGACAATCTGAAAGAAATGGATACATTACTAGAAACATACAATCTTCAAAGACTGAATCAAGAAGAAACAGAAAAATCTGAACAGACTGAGTACTACAAACAAAATAAAATCAGTAATATAAAAGTTCCCAACAAACAAAATTCCTGGACCAGATGGCTTCACAGGTGAATTTTACCCAACATTTAAAGAAGAATTAACACCTGTCATTCTCAAACTATTCTAAAAAATTCAAGAGGAGGAAAGGCTCCCAAGCTCACTCTATGAAGCCAGCATTACCCTGGTTCCAAAACCAGACAAAGGTATTACAAAAAAAAAAAAGAAAGAAAGAAAGAAAAGTATAGGCCAATATTCCTGATGTACTTGTACATACATGCAGAAACCCTCAACAAAATATTAGCAAATCAAATTCAGCAATACATTTAAAAAGATAATACATCATGACCAAGTGGAATTTATTCCTGAGATGCAAGACTGGCTCAATATTCACAAATCAAGTGATGTGATACACTGCATTAAAAAAAAATGAAACATAAAAATCATATCAATAAATGCAGAAAAAGCTTTTGAAAAATCCAACATCCATTTATGATAAAAACTCTCAGCAAAGTGGAAATAGACAGAACATATCTCAACATAGCAAAGGCCATATACAATAAACCCACAGCTAACCTCGTACTCAACAGAGAAAAGCTAAAATCATTCTCCTTAAGATCAGGAGCTAGACATGGATGTCCACTTTCACCACTTTTATTCAACATAGTATTGGAAGACCTAGACAAAGCAATATGACCAGATAGATAGATAGATAGATAGATAGATAGATAGATAGATAGATGACATCCAAATTGGAAAGAAAGAAGTAAAATGGTCATTATTTGAAGATGACATGATAATATAGAGAACCCTAAAGATTCCATCTAAAAACTATTAGCACTAATACATTAATTCAGTAAAGTAGCAGGATACAAAATTAAAATTCAAAAATAGGTTTGTTTTTATACACCAATAATGAACTATCAGAAAGAGAAATTTAAAAAACAAATCTCACTTACGACTGTATCAAAAAGAATAAAATACTGTGAAATAAATTTAACCAAGGAGATAAAAGACCTATACTCAGAAAATTATAAGAGATTGAAGGAAGAAATTGAAGAAGATATAAATAAATTGAAGCATATACTGTGTTCATGGATAGGAAGAATTAACATTGTAAAAATGTCCACACTACCCAAAACAATCTATAGAGTCAACACAATCCCTATGAAAATACCAACGCCCTTTTTCACAGAACTAGAAGAAGCAATTCTAAAATTTATATGCAACCACAAAAGACCCCAAACAGCCAAAGCAATCTTGAGAAAGAACAAAGCTTGAGGTATCATGCTACCTGACATGAAACTATACGATAAGTTTATACTGATCAAAACAGGATGGTACTTGCATAAAAACAGACACATAGATCAACGGAACAGAGTAGAGAACCCAGAAATAAACCCACATCTATATGGTCAATTAACCTATGCCAAATGAGGGAAGAATATGCAATGGGGTAAAGACAGTCTCTTCAATAAATGGTGTTGGGGAAACTGAACACATACATGCAAAAAAATGAAACTTTCTTATACCATATACAAGAATACACTCAAAAAGGATAAAAGACTTAAATGTAAAACCCCAAACCACAAAACCCCTTGAAGAAAACATAGGCAGTAAATTCTCTGACATTGCTCTTATAATATTTTTTCTGATATATCTTCTCAGGTAAGGGAAACAAAAGAAATAAATAAATGGGAGTACATGAAACTAAAAAGGTTTTGCACAGGGAAGGAAACCATCAACAAAATGAAAAGACAACCTACTGAATGGGAGATATTCACATGATGCATCCAATAAGGGTGTAATATTCAAAATTTATAAAGAACTCATACAACTCAACACCAAAAAACAAACAATCTAAAAGATGGGCTGAGGATCTGAAAAGACATTTGTCCAAAGAGGACATACAGATGGCCAATAAACATATAAAAATATGCTCAACGTCACTAATCATCAGAGAAATGCAAATTAAACCACAATGAGCTATCACCTCAAACCTGTCAGAATGGCTATCATCAATAAATCAACAAGCAACAAGTGTTGTACACCTGAAACTAAGTAAAAAAATAAAACAAGTAAAAAAATAATTAAAAATAGAACTACTTTATGACCCAGCAATTCTACTTCTGGATATGTATTCAAAGAAATCTAAAACACTAATTCAAAAGATATATGCATCCCTATGTTCATTGCAGCACTGTTTACAATAGCCAAGATATAGAAGCAACCTAAGTGTTTATCAACAGACGATTGGATAAAGATGTAGTACATATATACAATGGAATATTGCTAGGCCATAAGTAAAGAATGAAATCTTACCATTGCAACAACATGGATGGATCTAGGGGGTATTATGCTAAGTGAAATAAGTCAGACAGAGAAAAACAAATACCATAGGATCTCACATGTGAAATCCTAAGAACAAAATAAATGAACAAACTAGAAACATACTCATAGATACAGAGAACAAACTGATGGTTGCCAGATTTGGGGGGCGGGGGCATGTTTAGGGTCTGCGTGAAAAAGGTGAAGGGATTAAGAAGTATAAATTGGGGGCCGGCCAAGTGGTGCGTTGGTTAAGAGTTGGGTTGGGACGCCAGCTCTGAGCAGCAGGGCCCCGGTTCGGATCCCACATGAGGGCCAGTGACGCTGCACTCTCTACAGCTAAGATAGTGAACAACAGCTCGACCTGGAGCTGGGCTGCTGTGAGTCACCAGCAGCGGTGTAGGCTGCAGTGGGGCTGGCCAGCAGCTGGCATGTGCTTTTGTGAGCTGCTGTGAGCTGCCGTGAGCGGCCGTCCAATGGCGGGCGAGCGACTGCCTCACCCGGGAAGAGTGCAATGATAATACCAACATGGGCCAGTGAAGCGATGTCCTCCACAACTAGACTGAAGAACAAAAGGACAGCAACTTGTCTGTTCCTCTTCCCCGATTCCACAACACTGTTCCCCTCCCCCAATTCCCCAGTAAAATCTTAAAAAAAAAAAAAAGTACAAATTGGTAGTTACAAAACAGTCAAGGGGATGTAAAGTAAAGCATAGGGAATACAGTCAATAATGTTGCAACAACTATGTATGGTGTCAGATGGGTACTAAACTAATCAGGGGGTTCACTTCATAAATTATATAAATCTCTAACCACTACGCTGCACACCTGAAACTACTATAAAATAATATTGAATGTCAACTATAATTGAAAAAAAAGATAAATTTAAAAAAAAAAACCTGGTGTTAAATGATACGCAGAAAAAAGAACAGGGTAACATCATAGCGAGACACAAGGGATAGAGGAAGAGCCAAGGGGATCGGGAGAGACGGCACAGTGGAGGCGCACTGGAGCTGAAAGTGGAACAAACAGAGGAGCCAGCTCTGCAGGTGGGGAAAGAGCAGCGAGGACAAAGTCTCCAAAGGAGGAACAAGGTTGGCATGATGGAGAAACAGCAAGAAAGCCAAGGTGGCTGGAGCACAGGGAGCAAGGAGTGGAAAGCAAATAAAGGGGGAGAGGTGGGCAGAAGCCAGACCATGTGGGGACTAGGAGACCAGGAAAGGGATCTGGGGACACCATGAGGTATTGCCACCTGGGTCTCTCCTGATGAACACTGGAGAAGGACTCTAATGACCTGGCTTCAAGTCTGTTTTCACTTCTTACTGAGTGACCCTGGGCAAGTCACTGAACCTCCCTGAACCTATCCAATGGCCAGTGAGGTGAGGATAATATGTATTCCCTGCCATGCTAACCTCCAGAGGTATTTGGAAGACAAAGAGAGATAATGGATGTCCACATCATGTGTGAACTTATTCACATCCTTAATGATTAGATAGAGAGAAGGTGGAGGAGACAATCTGGGTGGGGAAACATAAGCAAAGGCCTGGACACAGCCACAGGTATAGCCTAAGTGGGCAGCAGAGAAGGGCCTGGCCTGGCTGGAGCCGCAGGCTCTGGAGGTGGGGGGAAGCAAGGGGGCCAAGAGGAGACTCAGGAGAGCACAGGGCTTTGAGTATGAGGCAGCGGGCTGTACTTACCCCTGACAGCAGAGAGGGCTCCCTTGTTAACTACTAGCAGCCCATTCCTGCGAGATGAAGCCTGCAACCAAGATACAGTTCGGCACCTGCCTCTGAAGAGGGACACCCTTGACAAAGCACAGGCCCTTTCCTTCTCTCATCTGAGTCACAGAGTTATTTCTGCAGAGATGCCCTGCTGGGGATCCAGGTGCCTGAGAACCAAGATGTCTGGGACAAAAGTGGAGAAAATAAGACTCAGGATGGGGTGTCTGCCACCTCCAAATTTTAGGGAGATGGTCACAAAGCTCAGAGAGTAGAGACTAATGGGTGACAGATTTCCACTGAGTATCAGAAGCAACTGGGACTGTGCAGTTGGAGGGTGTGAGCGCCTCACCACAGGAGGTAACATTTGCTTTGGACCTTAAAGAATAAGTAAGATTTCAGAGAGTTACCTGCAACTCTATCTTCACTGCAGTAGTAGTCACAATAACCAAGACATGGAAACTAAGTGCCCGTCAACAGATGAATGGAGAAAGAAGATATATTAATATATGGTGCCAAAAAAAGGTATACACATTTTAAGAAAGGAAAAAACTATTAAAATTGTAATAATATATACTGATAACAAAAGATGAATACAAGTCATGTTTGACCTCTGCAATTACAAGAGGTGCTCAACGTGGTTACCATCAGCATCCAGACACTTCTGATAACAGCGAACTACTGCTTGAGCAACGCTGACCAAAGTGTTCACTTGTATACATTTTTTTGGCACCCCCAGTACACACCCACAAACACACACATATGTAGAGTAGAATATTATTCAGTCATAAGAAGGGAATACTGCCATTTGGGACAACATGGATACCTTGAGGGCATTAAGCTAAGTGAAACAAGTCAATCAGAGAAAGACAAATACGGCGTAATAAATACTGCATGGTATCACTTATATGTGGAATCTTTAAAAAAAATAGTCAAACTTATAAAATCAGAGAGCAGAAAAGTGTTTGCCAGGGGCTGGTGCTTGGGGGGAAATAGGGAGAAGTTGGTAAAAGGGTACAAACTTTCAGTTATAAGATGAATAAGGACTGAGGATCTCATGTAAAACATGATGACTTCATTGATAACACTGTACTGTATAACTGAAATTTGCTAAGAGTGAACTTAAGTGTTCTCACACACACACAAAAAGATAAACGTGACATGATAGATGTGTTAATTAACTAGATGGGGAGAATCCTTTCACAATATACATGTATATCAAATCACCATTATGCACACTTTAAATATCTTACAATTTTATGACAATTATACCTCAATAGAGCTGAAATTAAAAATAAATACATGTATACATACATGCATACAATTGCAGGTGAAATTACAAAAAAAAAAAAAAAGTAGGATTTCAATAGATGGAACTAAGGGGGATGGGGAGGCGGACTAAGCTATTTCATTTTGAAGTTTCCTAAAAATTACCAGCACGTGATGATTGCAGTCTGTACTTGAACTTCACAGCCTACACACACGGTGAAAATGATCCCAACTTCACCATCCCCATCTCCTCTGCTCTCCACTGCCGGCTTCATAAGCACCTAGCTGCAGCCTAGTGTCAGGCCCTGCCTGGAGGAGCTCCAGGACTTAGGAGCTTGGGAGCTCTTGAACTGGGGCTCCCGAGGTATTGGCCCCGAGATTTCTGGTGATGGCCTCCAGGGAAGGCCACGAGTTGTTACAAATGCAAGTGCCTTTCAGATGGAATGCGCGCAGATGGCTGCCTGTACAATCACTGGGAACAGGGGGCTATGGTTACTTGAAAAGCTCAGTACTTTATAAAAGGGGGCAGAATGCTATTGAGCTCCAGCTCATTTTGCCAAATCTCAGATTTTTTTTTTCAAGTGGAGCCAGAAAACCTTTGTTTTTAATGTGAAACTTCCCAATTTTTTAACAGTGGCAGATCAATTTTTTTATTATTATTAAACATTAGGCAGCCATACAGAATAAGTCTGCATCCAACTCCAGCCAGTGTCTATAGTTTGGAACTGCTGCTATAGACACCCCACTCTCCCTCTCAAATGGGCTCCCAGACCTAAAGGGAGTTCATGGAAGCGACCACATTCAGTCTCTTTGAGGCTCTGTCCTGATTTGTGCTCAGCCTGGCTTTCTTAGGCCTGGGAGTTCTGTCACTGCCACCACCTCCCACCTGACATTTGGGAATCCCAGACTTTCTCCCATGGCCCAGCTCTGACCTGATGTTCTCATTGGGTGCCTTCCCGTATCTCTTGACGGCCATGCACTCGTTCTTGTGGTTCAGCCAAGCATCCTTCTGGCAGGTGCGGTCACAGTAATGGGCAAACTTGCACTGCCCGCAGCGGTGGAGCTTCTCCTGCCTCTTGAAGCAGGTGTGGCATACGAAGTTAATGAGGCTGGAAACAGAGGGAGGAAATATACGATTGAGGTTGGGGAGCACCATGGAAAGGAACCACACTGGCCTTTAGGAGGCCAGGGGTCAGGTACTGGCTCAGTGGGCCATTCTTGTCTCTCTAAGCTTCAAACTTCCACTTTTCAAAATGAGGGAATTGGGTTTCCAAAGGTCCCTTTTAGCTGTAACGATAATTTGAGCAGATATTTTAAAGTAAACCAAATTTGGGGAACACCACTGAGCTCTGCATATAAGCCTTTCAATTTAATTCGGCAAGTGTAGGTCTATGACCTTGCAGGCACTAGGACAACCACAAGTTGCCAGAGCAACAGTTGAACTAGCAAGACCGTGCAGTGTGAGGAGCACTATGCTAGGGGAGGCACAAGGTGTTCCTGGAACACACTGGAGAAGACACTTGAGGAGCCCAGGAAGCCTCTCCCAGTCCCCTTGCCAATAGACACAGGTCACTGGCACCATGGCATGGGAGGGGCATTCTGTATAACATGTGCTTCTCATTCTTGAAATATACTGTCCCATTTCCCAAAGAGTAAAAACCATAGCTACCCACAATGTGATATATTTTATACAAAACAAGGTCTACACATTATGACATATTTCACAGTTCTGTGTATTTTGCAACGTTAAGAATTACAATGTTACTGATGTCATTGATGTTATCTAACGCAGCCTCCTGGCTCAGCGAGAGTGAAAGTGATGCGACAGACAGTGCATGCCCATTCGGTGGGTGAGGGAGAGAGATGGAGGAAGAAGAGACTCCTTCCCCCAGTTTCTGGCCTCCCAGCAATTCCATTAAAGAGTCACGTGTCTCCCCCTGTTAAAGCTGTGATTCAAACAGACAAGGTCATAGGTTAGCATGAAGGAAACGTATTTTAAGACATAACCTAACAACCTGAGTGAGCTTAATCTGGTATGATGCACAATATCTCTAGGCCCCAACTGCAACAAAATATACAAGTACAGAAACCCCTTGTACCCATCTCTGACCATGCATTTTCTAATTCCCATAGTCAAAAAGAGTTTGCTTCCTCCAACAAGTTAGTCTACTGTTGGCCAGTGCTAATTACTGGGGACTTCTTCCTTGTGTTAAGCCTGAGTTTGCCTTCTGGAAAAACATACCCCTATAACCTAATTTTGCCATCTGGATCCTTGTCTAATGGAACAGGCTAGGTCAAGTCAATCCTTTAAGAATATGCAGACAACTGCCATCCATGCTTTCCATTCATTTCCCTTCTCCAAGTTAAACACTCCCCACTCCTTCAACAGTTCCTTATACAAGTTTCTGGAAATCTCACACTGTTGGTGGTCTCTGATGTGCGTACAGCATGTCCCTTCAGTCAAAGGAAAGTGGGCATAGCAGGGCAATCAAGCAAGATCCAGCAGCCAGCGCTAGGACATCAGGCTCAAGGACCAGCCCAAAGGCTATGTCCAGTGGTCCCAATATAGCATCAACAGACAGAGAGAGAGGGACAGAACCAAGCTAAGGGCATGGCATGGGCTACGGCTCTAAGCTAGATCCTGGGCTTCCTGGAGTTCAGGCACTTTTCAGCCTCTGGGTAGTCAACTCAACACACACTGCCATGTCCCCATCTGCTGTGAGGTACGTTGCTAGTAAGTTGTTAATAATCATAAAGTAGTCAGGGGCATAAAAGGTTAGTACTTATATATAAGTTAGAGCAGATTGAAGGTTATTCCCGTCATATTGTCTTCCTCATTACCTTGCATTCCCTTAAGCTTTCCTAATGGGAGAAGAAGAGTAGAACCACATTGGCATACTTAGTAAATTGCACAGAATCCACACCGCATCATAACTTTGCCACAGAGCAAGGGTCCGACTTGAGAAGGTCACGAGTATCGAGAGGAATAGAATACAGGGGACTCACACGAGACCCTGACCATTTAGTGAATCTCCAAACCCCTGGAAAAAGGGAGCTATGGATTTCTCCAATCTGTCTCAAGTCAGGATTGCATTCTCTGGAAGGAATGTGAAGTTCATTAGCAGGGACTGGGTTGCTTAAGAACCTGAGTAATTTGGATCCCAAGGAGACTTTAGTGTGCATGCATATCACCAGAGATCTTGTTAAAATTCAGGTTCTAACTCAGTAGGTCTGGGGTAGAGCCTGAGATTCTGCATTTATCATAAGCTCCCAGGTGATGCTGATGCTACAACTTTGAGTAGCAAGAATATAGAGATGAGAGAAAACCTAAACCCTACTCCTTTTGGTGGGATATGCAGGCGAGTGTCAGGTAGGCAGGAATAGGAAGTTTAAAAAAAAAACGTTCCCTCTGGTCTCCATCTCCTTACATTGGCAGCAGGATGCATATTATGGAAGGTCAGGCCTGAAGTGAGTCAGAGCTGGGTTCAACCCCTGATTCCAGTATCTTCTGGCTGTGTGACCTCAAGCAACCAATCTAACCTCTCTGATCCTTCATTTCCTTATGTAAAAATAGGAATAGCAATGCCTAGATCTTGATATCTCTTAGACTAATGACTATTACTTTTTAATGAAGCATACCTGCTATTTTTAAAAATTCAAGCAAAAAGAAAATTACAAAGAAGCTCCAAAACCCCACCATTCTCAAAATGATTTTGAGGGTTAAATGAAATAACAAGTAAAATATCCCGCTCAGAACCTGGCACAGGATGAGTGCTCAGTGGATGTCAGCTGGTCCACCCATCCATCCATCACACAGGGAGGTTAGGCCAGGTGGTCTCTGAATTTCTGCTCTCCTCCAGCATCCAATATTTCTCAGGCAGCCACCAGACAGGAAGACCTCTGGGCTAAAAGAAAATCCCCGAAGAGGGACAAGGGTACTTCCTTGACAGAAATACTTCCCCTTTTTTACTTCCTTTGTGTGAAAGAGAATCCAAAAGACATTAAGCCCTAAAACTACTTTTTGGATTCCAGGAGAAAGAGTGTTTCATCCAGACAGCTTAACTGGATGACCTTCAGCAAGTTTCATTTCTCCTCCTAGTCTCATTTTGTCCAGTCCAAAGAGTCCCATTTACACAACACTTTGCAAGGTTAGGTTTTTAGCAATTCTCTTCTGTTAAACCTCCCAACACCATTTAGAGCAGTAGTGATCAACATCCTCACAGGGATGTTATTTGCATAGGGGTCTCTGATGCCTGACACTGCTCTCAGCAGAGGGAAAAGGAAGCCACCAAGCCTACCTGCTTTGCCTGCAGCCCTAAGTGTGCCCTGCCCCAGTGAGCAGGTCCCCACTTAGTCTTTGCTCTGAGTCCCTGGGTTATGTCATCTGTCAGAGTCAAGAGGGATGGAAGGGCAGCTATTGCTCAGCTCCTTGTATGGACATAACCAGTTACTGGACAGAGAAACACAAAGAAAAGATGCCTGCAAGTTAGACGAGCCCTGCAAAAACACAGGCAGAGAGAACTGGACCAAGAGCTCTGGCTTTG